CAGGGACCTTGGATGGGGGTGAGAGGAATGAGGTCGTCCAGATTCACTGCGCGTGAATCTTGGCCCCAGACACCGTGGATCGTTCACCAGTCCTAGAGGACTCATGCCCATTCTCCACACTTTTGCTCTCCCTGCCAAACCCATCCTTCACCCCTACGCCTCACACCAGCCACACAGGTGTTTTCCTCTTTGGGTTTGTTCTGACCCTTCCCCAAGATTTATTGTTGAAGTCAGGCCCTGGCCCATGGAGGAGAAGGGCGTACCAAGTTTCTGCAAATTGAATGTCAGGGTTGGGCGGTACCTAAAAAGCCGTGTGGGCAGCCCTATGGGATGCTCGGATCCCACAGGCCAAGTCCTGCCAACAGCGTGTGGTTTTTCCCCTCCGCAGCCTGTCGTTACACATAAAGTTTTATTGGAACGCAGCCATGCTCTCCTGGGTCACCAGCCACATTTCAAGCGTTCAGGAGCCATGTGGGGCTAGTGGCGACTGAGTTGGGGAATTTTATAGCGCATTTCCATCGTTGCAGAAAGTTCTGTTGGGCTGCGATGTGCGCACTGGGCTCCTCCTCGAGTGTTTCTGGGGCTGGGGTCCTGGGCGCTGTGGACGTGGCTCTGTGTCGTTGATTTCACAAAGTACTTGCCTTCTTTATTTAGTCATTTAGAGTTTCCCATTTGTTTAATAAGTATTTTGTCCTCTGGGCTTACTTTTCTGCCCTCTGGAATCACACAAAGTGGATCTCTCTTCCTTCTTCCTCACGAGAGGTCTCAGATCCCCTGGAAGTTTTTTCAAAATCGACATCCCCGGTTATCTGGGTCTTGGCTGTTGTGGTCCAGTTCGGCATTCGCTTACCATTCGTCTCCCTCATCAGTGTGTCCCTCCCAGAATGGGTTCCAAGAACCAAAGGCCAGACTGCCAAGGGAGGGCCTGGAGGATAAAGCGGAGCAGGGCCGCGGGGGTGCTTAATCAGGAGTCCTAACCTGGGAGCGAGGGCGCCAGGAGGCCTGCCCGTCCCTTCATAAGTGTATTGTTCTTGAGAGGTAGTCTCACCAGATTATCAAAAGATGGGGAAGGGGCCCATGACCCAAAAACAGTCAAGAACCACCGGTCAAGAGGCTTTACCCCCATAACCGCCGAAGAGGCATGCTCCCGAGTTGAGAGCTGACCGTGGTAGAATGATGAAGTTGACTGCGTCTTTTTGGTCTGTTTCCCTCCAGTACGAGTATGCTTTGAGACATTTGTACGTGCTGGTCAACCTCTGTGAACAACCGTATCCAGTTGACAGGTAAATGAGCACCGACCCTTTGAAGGGTCCGTGTCATTCTGGAAGCAGCCAGGACTCTGCTGTCCTTTTCTGCACGTGGGTGGTTTAGCTTCTGCCGGCCACGGCCTCGGGCTGTGGGGGCCCTCAAAACAGCTGTCTCCCCCAGGATCCTCGTGGGGTGGGTCTGTCACAAGTGGCCGCCTGTTCCATGTTGGGTTATGTTTGTCTTAATTTCTTCAGAGTTGACGTGGTTCGCTAACTTCTTCCTGTTTCTGGCAGAATAAAATCATCCATGGACAAGGTGTGCCTTGATAACTACTGAAACACTGCCTTCCTGATGCTTTCCCGAGTGTGAACACCGTCCCTCAGAATGTGTGTGACCCGAGACTGAAGAGGTGGAGCCGGAGGGGAGGAAGCCCAGCCGCCCCAGCCTTCCCAGGGATGCGGTCCAGCGGCTCCCAGGCCCCACTCCAGGCCTTTCACGAGGCGCCTGCTCACGTTTACCTACTTCCTTGTCTCCAGCAGGTCCTGTGCGATGCTCTGAAAAAACCGCAGAGCGGCTGGGTGAAGCTCTGTGTTGAGAAAGCCGTGTTTGTGTTTTAAGAGGTTTTTTCGCGCGTCGGTTTTAAGGAACAGGAACTTCACTGGGCGCCTGTAGCCGAAAAGAGTCTGTCCCGAGGAATTTGAAGCTGGGGCCTCTGAAGTCTTCAGAATGATTTTATTGGAGAGGGATGTGGGCCCCAAATGGAAAACTCTTTTTAGAAAATCTTATAATTATTGATTGCTTTTGTATTTTATTTCACAATAATGGAGAAGTCTAAAGAATAAAGATTTGTAACTGAACCCGAGTATTAATTTCGGGCCCCTGACTTTGTAGTGTGTGCTCCCGGCCTCACCCCCTCGCCCCCTCCTACCGTTCCGTGGTTCCTGCTCCTCGGCCCTCTTTGGACTTCTCAGCCTCCTGTGCCTTTGCTCCCTGCTGTTCTCTTGCCCTGGAGTGCCTTTCCCCTCATCTGACGGGTTCTCAACTTGTATCTGAAAGTGCCCCCTCTTCCTGAAACCTTCCTCAACTTCCTCCCCACCCCAGACATCAAAAGTCCCCTCTCCTCTGTCCGTCTGCGTTTTCTGTGCATCTCTTATACCATGTGCAGAGGGTCAGGGGTGCATCTCAACTCCTCGAGGGCAGAGGCTGCCTGACTTATCTTTGTTTCCCTTGGCCTGGTGCCCTGCACAGGGAGGTACTTATGATGAGTTTGTTAGAGATGGGTGAATAACACTAACTATATCCATGCAGTGGAATATTACGCAGCAATGAAAAGGAGCGAGGCGCTGATACGTGCTGCAACATTAAGCCACGTGAAAGAAGCTGGTCACAAAAGACCACATGTTATACGATTCCATTTATACCCAATGTCTGGAGTAAGCAAATCTATAGAGACAGAAAGCAGATGAGTGGTGCTAGGTGCTGGGGAAACAACGACTGCTGATGGGTCATAAGGATTCTTTTTGGGGTGATGAAAATGTTCTAAAACTGATTGTGGTGATGGCTGCACAATTCTGCATCTACTAAAAGCCATGGAATTCTACACGTAGATGGAATTATGTGGTTAATTATTTCTATAAAGCTGTTTTTAAAAAGAAGCCATATAGCTGGATGCCTGTTTAGATGGATAGCTAGAGAGAAGGCAAAGAAAAAAAAGTAACACTAGTTAAACCCCCATGTTTATGACCACCTGCCTTTAGATAGTGAAACCTGTCCTGTTTAGCAAGATCGGCGCCTTGAGAGTTGGGAGTTGTGGGCTGGAAGCCGAGATACGGGCAGATAGGGTTATGTCTGACAATTCAAGGACAACGCTTTTGTTTCCACTGGGCCCGTTTTTTAGCAGCACAGATTACCCTTTCTCAGTAAGGCTGTCCTCATACGGCTGATCGAACGACTTCAGGACGAAGAACTCTTCTTGTCCTGCAGATCCTGGGGAACTCCGGGGTTTTAAGTCACGAGTTCAAGAAGCATCCTGCCTGTGTTTCTCTCATGCTCAACAGCGGGCAACCCTGGGGCTGGCTGACGTTCCAGGAAATGCAAAACTGAAAGGGAGAGTTTTTAAAGGGAATATCTTAAAAGGCCTCAAGAGCCAGGTGATAAGACCTCTGTTCCTCTATTTTCTACAACTGTTAACTGCCCTTGTGACCATGCTGTCTCTGTTTTTCCTCCCTGTAGAATGAAAGTATACTTGCTGATGTAACAAATGTAGAAACTTGAATGTTCGTGGTTCTAAAGGTTAAAAGCAGCTATGATTCGTTTCTCAAATAAACGACAGTTTCCTAAGTCACAATGTCTCGACTGTTTTTCTCCTCGTAAGATAATGTGGGAGTCGCTAAGCAGCGTCAAGGGCCGAGCATGCGAGGTGCCCTGTCTCGTGGCCCTGGATCAGGCCCCATACCTGCTGTTGTCCCATCACTTTCCCCAGGGGCAGAGGCATCCATTGACAGGGGCTCCAGGTGGCCCCACCCCTCCTGCTCTCTGGCCTCTCCTGACTGCGGGTGGACCTCCGCATTGGTGGTCCTCATCACGGGGCACACGCTCAAGCACACATGTACATGCACACGTGGTGTCCTTACAGTGGCCCTTCAGTCCAGCTCACCGGCTGGCTCTGCCCCTATCCTGGGAGTGGGACATAGGACCTACCAGCCCACCCTCTGAAGCCCAACACCTCCCCCAGCTTGGGCCCCACCTGGGCAAGGGGATGCTTGGGTAAACAGACACCCCTCTGACCTTCCCCTCCAGTCTCAGGCCTGGTGGGAGGTGGTGGGCTCCCTGCCTTACAGCTGTGGGGGCAGGAGGCTGCGTAGCCAGCTCAGCTGAGGGCTGTGGGGAGCACTGGAAGCTCAGGAACGGGACAGTGTCTGCACTGGGTCAGGGGGCGGAACGGAGGCAAGGACAACCTGCGACCACGGCTGGCTGCCCTCAGCATCGGAGTGTTCACCTGTTTTCTCGTCTGTTACACTGACCCACAGCCTGGAAACTCCTCCAGAGCTGGCTGCATCTGGAACAGCCCCTGCATCTCACACAGGGCTGGCCCAGAGCCAGAGTCTGACAGATGTTTGTTGACTGGCCGAATGAGCTGACTGATGCCCAGGAGTTTAATTCAAGTAGGTCCAGCCAACTTTCCCTGGGCACACTGCTCACTGCCATTCAGACTGGGGCTCCATACCAACTTTATTTTGTTCTCCACTGTTTCCCAGGGCTCAGAAGAGTGCTGACATTTAGCAGGCACTCAACAAACACATATTTTTAATCAATGCTGAGAACGCAGACATGAATGGTCCAAACCTGGTGGAGAAAGAAGTATCAACAGACAATTGCAATTCGATGGGATCTCTCTCATCAGAAAAGGCTTCCTGGAGGAGATGGGCTTTGAAGGATGAATAAGAGTTTGCGCAGGCAAAGACTATAGGGAATGGTATTCCTGGGATAGGTCACAGAGGCAGGAAGGTGAGAGATCCTTCTGGAAATGATCCACAGGTGGGAATGATGGGAACCAAGGATGGTGGGGAGGCAGGAAATGACCAGGCTGAGGGGCAGACAGGGGCCAGGACCCCGAGGGCTGACAGTACGCTGCAGGTACTGTCAAAAGACAGGGCCCTTGGTGGAAAGGAGGGCCCCACCTGGGAAGGCAGTTAGCTGGGAATGGGGGCCTGGCTGGCTGAGCAGAGCTCCAGCCCCTTCAGAAAAGCTGATGCCATTTTCAAAAGGGCTTTTATTAAACTCTCCCCACACAGAGCGTCTTGCCACAACCACCACAGCCCTGGGTGTGCCCACCAGGGAAAGCCCCGACAGTGTTCCCCGGTGGCCGAGGCCGGGCTTGTCCATGCGGCCGTGGAGCTGGCCTCACTTGGCCATCCCAGTGTCCGTCCGGCTGCTTCTGGCGAGGCTCGGGAGCTGCAGGGGGACTGTGGGCTGTGGGTGCTGGCAGCTGAGGGCAGGCCCCGGTGCAGGGACGGGGGGCCTGTCTCCTCAATGCACATCCTGAGAGATGCTCCTGAGATGCTGGGTGGGTCCAAAACACCCCAGCTGCATCCTGGGGGCATGGGGTGGGGGCAGCTGGGGCCAGGCCACTCCTCCTGAGGACAGTCCCGGGAAACTCAGCCCTTCGGGGGAAAGACTGAGGACTGGGCTGGCATGGGGGGTGGGCAGAGGGCCGGCCTGAGGGGCTGCGTGTGAACCAGGCTTGGGCCGTGTGCTGCAGGGGCTGGAGAGTCCCCTCTCTTGCCGAGCCTCAGTTTCCCTTTCCGTCTATTGAAGAACTTGGCCTCTCAGGGTTATGGCCCTCCTCCAGGAAGCACACTGGGCCGCTGCTTCATGGTATTCTCACAACTGCCCCGCCATGTTGGCCTCGCACGCTCAGCGCGTGGTAAGCATGTGTGGGGCGGCATCCAGGCCGGGAGCGCGCATGGGTGTGATTGGTTGGGGGGCTCCTGCATGTGAGTGGGTGCAGCCGAGTGTGTGTGCGCCGGGGGAGCGAGGGCGAGCCCAGGCTGCCCCGCCAGTCCCGGTGCCACCCCCCGGGGGGCGACAGCGGCCCCCTCACAGGAAGTTGGGCTCCCGCACCACGAGGCAGGGCGGGCCCCCGCCGCCGCCGTCCAGGGGCCGGTACACGAAGTGGAAGTCGCGCTTGGGCTCGCTCCGCAGCAGGTAGCCCTTGATGCGGTGCGGCAGCGCCTCGTCCGCCAGCTGGAAGCAGCGCCCGTCCACCAGCACGAAGAGCCGGTGGTCCTGCGGCTGCGCCACCTCGAACTTCTCGGCGCACTGCGCGCACAGCGCCTCGGCCAGGGTGTCCGCCCGCGACGCCAGCGTCCGCGACTGCTGCTCGGGCTCCAGGTACGACACGCAGATGAAGTCCTGCGGGGGGAGAGGGGGGCCTGCGGTCACCTGCGGGGCCGAGCGGGCGTCCCGTCTCACCCCCACCCTAACCCTGGGAGCTTGCACAGGGGTGAGGAGCAGGGTGGCCTTGGAGGAGTCCCAGGCTCCTCTCGGTGGAGGGAGGGACCGCAGGAGCGGTGGGGAGGCCGCACCTGCGGCTGACCCTGCTGTGCGACCTCAGGCCAGGTCCTCTCTCTCTCGGGGTGATTCAGCGGCTCTGTGTGGGCAGCGCGGAGTGAGCGCGCCCCCTGGTGGCCAGTCCGCGGGCTGGCCGTCACTTATTCACCTGTCACTCACTGCCTCTTCTCTGCTTCCCTGAGCCCCCCTGCAGCCCAGGCGCACTGCGGGGCGCGGGGGGCGGCATAAATAAAATCGGAGGTGCAGACCCAGCGCCAGCATCCCACGGTTCAGCTGGGGCCGCTAAGGCAGGCGGAACACTTCAGCCCTTAGGGCTGGAAGAGCCTGGGGGGTTACAAGGAGGAGAGAGGGAGCCAGGAGGGAACAGGAAAGGCTTCGTGCAAGGGAGAGGGGGGTGAGGCCTGAAAGACGGCGGGTGTAGGACAGGTGGAGAGGGCCACCGCATGAGCCAGGTAGGCAAGGAAGCATTTGCACCCACGCGACTGGCACACACACTTCCTCCATCAGCCTGGGTGGGAGGACCATTTGCTGGAAGGACGGGCTGTCCAGTCCCTGGCTTTGATTCTGCTCCCCCTCACTGTGTGCCCTTGACTTCTTTGAGCCTCCATTTCGTCAACTGTAAACCGGGATAACACTGGTGATTACACCATGGCTATGAGGAAGCATTAAAACTGGCTCAGAGCAGGAGGAGTCTTCCTTCACCAAGCACCCTGAGGGCAGGCAGAAAGTGCTGTGTGCCCGGCTGCCCCCTTGTGGGAGGACAGTAACAGCACAGCTGCCTCCCGATGATGATGATGATGATGATGATGATGATGATGATGATGGTGATGATGATGGTGGTGGTGGTGGTGGTGCTGGTGGTGGTGATTGTGGTGATGGGATGGTGGTGGTGGTGGTGCTGGTGGTGCTGGTGGTGATGGTGGTGGTGGTGGTGGTGGTGGTGATGGTGGTGATGATGATGACCACTTCAGGGTGGTGATAACGAGGGCAATAGAGTAGTGGGTGCATATGAGGCACCAGGCTCCGCGTCAAGAACTTTATAGAGTTACCCCTCTCTTCCAGGAGGGGGAAGCCCAGCCTACTCCCGTGGGTCCCAGTGGCTGCCAGTGCTCTCCTTGTCCCCCATTAGGCCTCCAAGGGCCCTTTTCACCTACTGACAAGTGTCAGGCTCTGGGCTTTCACTCCCAGGGAAGGGCTTTAGGGCATGTGGTGCAGAGGACGCACAGGGAAGGGGTGGGGGGGTGCCCTCCCCAGACCCCAGAAAGCGTGCTGAGGGGTTCCTTGTCCCCTCTCCCAGGCCTCTCTCCTAAGCTTCACCTCCCCAGTGGGCAGCGCTGATGCTCTGCCTGGCTCAGCAATGGGGACCCACGGTGGAAGCAGGGAGTGGGGAATGCCTGGGTCAGGCTTGGACCAAGAGTGCCCCTAGTCCCAGAGCTGGTGGAGGGACAGGTGTCCCGGGAGGGGGCGAGCGGTGGGATGCTGGAGCTGGTTTGTGTCGACTTACGCAGGCTCATACCAGCCTGAGGGAGCTAACTGAGTACATCTCTTCCAATTCCAAGTTCAGTGATGCCAAGTCAGTAGCCTGAAATTGGCTACGGTGGGAGTATTTACACCACAGAAATTGACAGAAGCTAAAATCAGAGCTTTTGTTTTTTTTTCTCCCCAGAGAGCCAGTTACTAAACATTATCAAGACACCATTGATTAGAGGAGGAGGGACATCAGCTTGGCAGCCTAGAACATGTACTGGGGAGGCAGAGCGCATCTAGTCCACAGTCCACCTGTCTCAATAGGAACACTGAGTTCCAAAGAGGGGCAAGGACTGCTCAGAGCCACACAGAAAGCTAGTACAAAGCTGAGTCCAGACCTTGAGCCTCTTGCATCCCAGGCCTGGGCTCTGCCTGTTACAGAGGCGCTGTCTTAAAAGCCAGGAGTGGGGTTCAGGTCCGGTGTGCTCTGGGTGCCAGGGGAATGAGTCTGCATAACTATTTACAGCTCTGGATTGCTGCCTGGCTCACTGTCCTAAACTCCCTTCATTCTGTATACACCCTAGTCCCACCCTGTCCCAGGCACTGGGCTTGGGGCCCCTGAGACATGTGGGCCATGGGCCCTGCCCTCTCAGGGCAACAGCTTCCACACATAGATGTTTCCAGCATGGTGTGATATATGCTGTAATGGGGGCAGTGGCAGGAGGAAGCACAGAGGAGGGCATCTAAGCCAGGCCATAGAGGATGGGGACAGGTGGGGGGGGGGTCAGGGAAGAAACTGAGGATGAGCAGTGACAGTAGGTGAAGAAGGGGAGATGGACCGGCGTGGGCGGAGGCTGAGCATGAGGGAGAACTCAGCAGGTCTGGGGAATTGGGGGTAGCTTGATTTAACGCGGCCTGGCGGTGTGGGCATGATGGGAGTGCGGGAGGAGGCAGGAGCCTAGCCATCCATGGCTTGAATACTGTTTGTATAGAGAGAGGTGGGGAGGGATTGGAGGGGACAGGCTAGGGGCAGGGGGGCCTTGGACTGCTGCATTTGTCCCGAGACCAAGGGGCAAGGCTGTGGATCAGCTCGTGGGCTCCCCAAAAGTATGGACTGGCACGACCCAGGTCCACATCTCCAGCCCCAGCGGGGCGCTAGGACAAAGCAGGTGGTGAGGAAAGATGGACAAAGATCTCACTCCTCGTATTCCCGTCTTGTCTGGCCAACCAGAACGCCAGTGCCTGGTGACACTTTTCTAGGCTCCCTGGCTCAAAGTGGGCACAGGGCTGGGCACACACAGGCAGGCAGGAACAGGCAGGAGCTGCCGTCTCCGCCTCCCCAGGTAGAAGGGATGGTGTCTGGGGCGTGGTCCTGCAGGCCCCGTCCCACCCTCCGCCCCGGACGTCACCTGCACCGAGGAGCGGGAGGCCCGGGCCTTGTTGAGCGTGCGCCGGCGCTCCCAGCGGTGGATGGAGTCCTGCACCTCCACGCTCAGCTGCCGGGTCACCGTGATCTTGTCGTAGTTCTTGATGTGTTCCAGGGCCCCGTAGGTGGTGGTCAGATAGTAGGAACCTGCGAGGACAAGGGTGTGGAGGCTGAGCTAGGACCGCCTCGGCCAATCTGCAAAGGGAGGGAGCAGGCCCCCGCTCGCCCCGCCCACCTCCCCAAGCTCCACCCACCGCGCTGCTCCGGGCACACCTGCCGCTGGTCACCTGCGGAGCTTCGGCCACGTGCTCACCCCGCGCAAGCGCACACAAGCTTCCGAGTCAGCTCCGGGTTGTCAGGCCTGGCTCAAAGCTTGTCGTTGGCTCCCCTTTGGTACGGAACTCTCGCTTACTTTTAAAATGATGTTTTAAAATTTAAAGGATACACAAGAAACTGATCCTCGTGGATGTCTTTAGGGTGGGGGGTGGGGGGGCTGGGAGACACGGTGGGCGGGAGACTTCTCAGGGTATGTGTATACATACATCCATGCAAGCATGCATAGCGAGGGGGCTTCCCTCCCCCTCACCAGGCCTCTCTCTCCAGCCCTTCTGGTACCAGGACAATGATTTTTGACATGAGGCCGATTCTCCTAGTGACCCAGCCAAACCCCATCTTCTCTTTCTTCCTAAATAACTTTTGAGGGGAAGTAACACTCAACTGAAAATGCTCACTTCCCAGACTCCCTTGCAACTTGGGTGTAGAGGGCAGGAGACCCTGTTTTGGCTACTTAGATGTGAGTGGAAGTCCATGGGTGGGGTTTCCAGGAAGACCTTTAGAAAGGGACAGACTCAGCTGATCCATCCCCTCAGGGGTTTGCCCATCCCCCTTCCTCCTGCCTGGAATGCAGAAGTGAGCCTGGAGGCACAGAAGCTGTTTTGTGATCAGAGGTGACAGGCACAAGGACAAAGGCCCACATCCTAAAGAGCAATGGAAAGAGCTGGGTCCAGGGCTTCCTGATGGCAGGGCTAAAAACTGCCATCATTATCCACTGCTTGGCCCAGGAGTTCTTGATGCAAGAGACTAACCAGCCCCTCGCTCTGATTTAAGCTGTTACTAGTTATATTGTGAGTTCTTTGAAGCCCAAAGCATCCCTAATGGTTACATTGGATGAAGCTGCCTCCATATTCTTACAAATTCCACAACCACTGTGGGAAAATTCATGCCCTGGCCGGGTGGCGGGGGTAAGATAAAGGGCTTTATGGCCTCAGCATCCTCCACTTTCAGAGCAGTGTAGGAAAGAGACATTTTTTTGAAACAGGTCTATCAAGGCCACCATGGAGCTCGGCTTGGTGTCCCTCATCAGAGAAGACCCAGTAAACCACTCGTGTGTCTCCTTTTCCAGCCGAGCTCAAGCCCGTGTGTGCCAGGGAGCCTCCTCTGCGCCTCCGGCCCTTGCTGCCAAGCATCCCTGTCCTCTAGCCGGCATCCTCGATGCTCCCATCCAACCCGTGACCAGGTCTCCCCGGCTGGTCATGGAGGGATGCGGACTGAGACCCTTCAGAACTGGAGTCAGAGAGCGGGGTCGAGGTCTCTGCCCGCCAGCAGCCGGCCCTGTGATCTCGGGGGAGTTACTGTCGTCTCTGTGCCTCGGTTTCCTCAACCGCAAATCCCATAACGTTGTGAAGAGTAATGTGCTTAGGAACCGGTGAGACACACGTGGTGGAGAGCTGACCTCAGGGAGGTGCTGTGGAGACTTCTCACCCTCTCGGGCGACGGGTAGGAACTCCGGGCCCTGCCGGCCCGCTCCTGCCTGCTCAAGCCTGGCTCTTGCTCAGCCGGAGCGGCACAATGAACCCACTTCCCTTCCACTTGGGGCCATGCAGTGCCTGCCAGGACCACTAGGGGGCAGGCGACCCCTCCCACTGTGCATTTGGGTGCAGGTCTCTGGGGAGAGGGTGTTGTCCATTGATGGGAAAAGCTCACGGCCCCTATTAAGATGTTAGCCTGGAACAGCCAGCTGTCAGCCCGCGTGGAGAGGGGACGTGGGCAAAGGAGCCCATGAGGGTGCTTCTGGGAAAGCTTTGGATTTTGACCTGGCTCCAGGCAGGTGCCCAGCAGCTGGTCTCCCGTCTGCCCTTTCATTGCCCAGAGGGGTGGGAGCCGCGGAGAGAGGCTAGAAGGGGGCTGAGGTCCCGTCAGCCCAGGGTTCAGGCCCCTGTGCCTCTTACAGGACATCCGTCATCTCTCACACCCCATAAGCCTGCTGCAGAGAAAGTGGGACCCGGTCACTGGTCCTGTGCCAAATGACAGCACATGGAACCAGCTGAAAGAACACGAAGGTCCCAAAGTGCCCGGGACCCGGAATCCGGCTTGCAGGCTTTTGTTGAATGCAGAAATGTTTGTTTGTACGACCTGTGAGACACGAGCAGCCAGGGCCCAGCTCCATTTCCTCCTGCCCCCCGCCACCTCTGCAGATCACTAGAGTGCTCGGACAGTTTGAAAGCCCCAAATCTAGTCCAACAACTCCACTTTCCCAAGCCAGAGAGGGTAAGTGACTTGCCCAAGGTCTCCAGCCAACCAGAGGCAGAACCAGCAGCAAAATGCAGCCTCCAACCCACTCTGTCCACTCCACACTGTGTCAGTTCTCCTCTTAGGATGGAGCAACTGACATTCTCGAGTGGGGCCCCCCGAGGGTCCACCCCATCCCAGACGTCTCTGGGCTGCAGGGAGCACCAAGACAGGGACAGCCAGCAGGGGCTAGCCTCCCCTCCTGCTTTGGCAGGCCCCTCTTTCTACCTGTGCCTCAGGGGCGACGGAGCACCCCTGGGCTACCACCCAGCTAGGATAGGAGGGCGAGGTCGGGGAAACTCAGGGGCAGTGCCCTGTCCCTCTGCCCTTGGTCCCAGACACTCCTAGATGGAGGTCTGCGGGCTGGCAGACTTGAGGGTGGAGACCCCCCAAGTCCTCTCACTACCGGGGGTTGACCCCCGTGAGGCTGGGCCGTCCTGAGTGGTGTGCCCTCCCCCCACCTGCTGGAGTGGGAACAGAGAGAGGGGCAGGGAGGCACCCCTGCCACCCACCCTGCCTCCCGGTGTGTGCAGCATGGCGTGCAGTTTGTCCTCTGGCCCTCGGAGCTGCCACGGGCAGGGTCTGCCGCTGCTGTGGGGGACAGGGCTGCTGGCAGGCCGGTGTGCGCCAGCATGGCGAGGCTGCACCCTGCCTGTGTCTTCACTTCCAGCAAACCCCATGGAGTCCTTAGAAATCTCCGTTTGGGGCCGGAGGTGGGGTGGGGGGCTTTGGCTACTTAAGTCTGAAAAAGGGCAGGTTGCAGCGGATTCGGGCAGCTTTGGGTCAGAAACTGACTTTCAAGACCTTCGTGTGTTTATTTGTACATCGGCTTGTCTCAAAAATCCTCAGCGGAGCCCAGAATAGACCAGCTCTCCTGCCTGAAGGACCTCACCTTTCCCACCCAAACCCTGTGGAGGCTTTGGGAACAGAAAGAAGGATCCCAGGAGGCCGTGGCAGGATTGGGGTGGAGGGTGCAGGTCCATAGGGAGGCGGTAGTTGGGCCAAGGGTGTCCCTTCTCTGTCCCTGCTGGGCTGCTGTTCCTGGCCTGGAGCTCGGACTGGCCACAGGATCCAGGCTGAGGATGGAGGAGGCGTCCCGGTGGCCAGGGCGTGGCCGACCGCTGCGGAGAGTGGTCCGCGCTCCGAGCATCTGTGGAGCCCCACTGGCTCCCTCCCTGCTTCCACCCCTCAAAGGGCTTTCACAGACGACGGACGGATGTGGTCTCTAAGACCCCACAACCACCTGGGGGGGCGGGGCCAGTCCTTCAGCACGATTTGGAAATGGTTGCTCCCTAAGCAGATCAGCAGCACATGCCTGCCGTGGAAAATTGGGAAAACAGAAAAAAGCAGAGAAGGCACTCTGTGCTCAGGACCTCCCTTGGTCATCTGAGCTCTGTCCTGCCCCATTGCTCCATCCTGCTAGCCTACTTCATTTCTTCTCAACATCCACCAGATGTGATCAGATGGGAAATTATCTTGTTTGCTTGTTTGTTTAACCCGTTTAAGGTCTGATGTCCTCCTCCTTCCCCTGGAATGAGACTCCACGAGCAAAGGGACCTGCTGTCACCTGGCACAAAGCAGAAGCCCAGTGGATGTCTGTGGAATGAATGAGTGCATGGCCTCTGCCCAGGTACCTGTTGAGTCTTAGTGTGTTTCTTGTTGATTTATAAGAGTCATTTACATATTAAGGCTATCAATCCTTGGTGCGCTGATTTGTGGGGAGGCTTTCCCCTGGCTTACTGTTAGTATCTTATTCTATTTATGGTAATTTTTGACATGTAAAAGTTTTAACCTCTAGAGGTTACATGTATGGCAGCCACAGGACAACAGCTAATATTCTTGCTGAGAGCACTGGCTAGGCTGCAGTACTTCTCAGGGGCTAGTCCTAGGAGATGGGGTGCTCAGGGTTTAGGGCAGGAGGCCAGTTCTGCATACAGCCCCCTGACTGGAGCCTCTTGGCCTCCCACTCCCTTCTATTTTTACCTTTCAGTCTGGTGGGGCCTGTAGGGGACAGGTCAGTGTTGCTTGGAGGCCTGTGTCCACACTCTCAGCTGTGTGGTGTTTCCAAGGGGTGGAAATCAAGAAGGAAGGCCCCTGAAGGCCCGAAGTGGAGGCCCCAAAGTGTGGGGTACAGAATGAGGCAATCATTCCTTCTCATGGGATTTCCAGCCTTGCCTGTCTTGCTCTCCACTGCAGCCCAAGTGCCTGGCACAAGCCTGGTACACAGGAGGGGCTGGCTCAGTAGCTGCAGAATGGACAGATGATGGGTGAGTGGATGGATGGAGGGGTGGGTGGGTAGACAGATGGATGGGTATGTAGGAGGGTAGAAGAATGAATAGGTAGGTGGATGAATGAATGGGTGGATGGGTGGGTGAGTAGGTAGGTGGGTAGATGGATGGATAGACATCTGGGTGGATGGATAGATGGATGGATGGATGGTTGGATGGATGGATGGATGGATGGATGGACAGATGCACTTGGCAGCAGATAAGCATTGCTGAAGAAAGCCTGGCTTCTACTGAACTCCTATACCCTCTGGAAGACAGGTTGTTCCAACTGCTGGAAAATTTTAAATAAAGAGGAGAAAAAACAGCTCCAGAGGTCCCAGGGCACAAGTGACAGTTATATGTGACAGAAAACATCATGGTTTTACACACTCCCCTGAGCTTTCAAGAACTCCCAGAAGCAGCCACATCAAACTGTCACCCCAGGGACTGCTAGCTGCTAAACATGCAAACAGATGCAAAGAGGGTTGGCTATCTCAAGAACCACAATGCCCAGAGGGGACACTCGGGGCCTGAGAGTGCTCCATCCTTCGAGGCTGATGTCTCAGAGGACAGTCTGGGGCTCCCTCAGAGCTGATCTCTGGGCTGGCTGCACCTCAGGGATCCTTGGTGGAGGGGTGGCGGAGGCTAAGTGGGTGGGAGGAAGTGGTAGGAAGGAGGAAAGAGGAAGGGAAACTGAGGGAGGCGTGGAGTAAACCACACCCCTGTCGTCATCACTGGGGAGTGCAGGGCCCCTTGCCCACAGCATCAACCTCCTCCCACGGACAGAGGACCTGGCCCAGGGCTGAGGGTCCCTAGGGCCACCCTTGTCTAAGAACTGACCATCATTCCCTTCCGTCCTTGAGCTCATGGGAAGGAGCTCAGACTCCTTCTCATGGACACTGCCCGCCACTTCAGCCTGATCTTCTGTTACCAGCAACTGCTGTTCCCTCTGCGAAGAATGCCTTTCCCCCTTGTTTATCTGACTGGCTCCTATTTGTCCTTCAATGCTCAGCTCAGGCATCACCTCCTCCAGGAAGCCTCCCCTGACTGCACAGGGTGCTCCCATACCCTCTGTATTTCCTGCCATTCCAGCGTTTGTCAAGCAGCGTTGACATGGTCTCTTTAGTGGCCCAGCCCCCTCGCTAGTCTGTGAGCTCCCCCAGGACAGAGCCTGTGTCCCCAGGGCTCAGTGGAGTCTGGCATCCAGGAGGGGCTTATTCAGCTGCCCAAAGTGCCCCTGGCGTGGCTGAGTGGGGAATGTGCGATGGGTCCGGGTGGTCCGGAGATGGGCCTGGGGCGGTGACTCACCCTCCCCCAGCTGCAGGGCCGGGTCCATGAGCTCCATCATGTACTCCACGTCGAGGAGCATCTCTGTGAGGTTGCTGCGCGCCAGCACATACATGAGCACGGGCAGGAAGTCGTCTGCCCCGTAGGGCTTCCCTGGGAGGAGGAACAAGGCAGAAGGTGGTGAGTGCGGGGCTCTCCTTGGGAGCAGCCCCCTGCCCAGGGGAAGGGGCCAGTGGTTTGCTGGACAGGGGCTGGTCACCCCTGAAAGAGGATCCTTCCTGTTTTCTCATGACTCCTGGGACGGGGCCTTCTCAGGGAGGCCTGAGACGCAATTGGGGTTCAGGAGGAAGGAACTGAGAAAGGTGCCCTCCGCTGGGGTGGGCGAGACGCAGCACCTTCCCCTTTCCCAGCTCTCCCCCTTGGTGCCCCTGGCTGCTGGCCTGACAGTCAGGTTCACATCACACTTATTCTTGGACCCGCCCAGAAGCAGCTGTCCGTCTGGCGCTGATGGCTTCTGGGGAGGGTCCCTGACTCTTCTACTCACGCATCTCCCTCTCCACCAGCAAAACAGAAGCCCTCCCTCCATTAGAGGCTACGGGGTCTGAAGTTCCGACATGCAACCTTCCTTCTTTGGGGTTAAGCCGTGCCTTTTCCCTAGGCTTTCTTTGAAAACGTAAATACCTCTGCAAGTGCTCATGATACTACTGTTGTGGGAGAGGGTCAAGGGCTCAGAGCCTCTGACAGTCGCCGATGCCTTGCAGAGGAGAGGAGGATGGAAGGTGGCTTCAGAGATGCCTCCCAGCTTTGGCTCTGGGCTGGCTCTGAAGACAGACCATTTGGCAACAGAAAAATCAAAGGTGGAACCTGGAGGGCAAGAATTCCGCCAGGGGCAGAAGCCGCCTGGAGTCCCTCGGGTGGCATCTTGGCGTGTCTCTGCGAGTACACAGGGGGAAGTGAAAGCTCGACTGGGCAGCTTTGCACGGTGGTGAATGGCCATGCTGGGTCCCCAACCCACCTTCTCGCCTCCCCTGACCACAGGGAGGCAGAGCTCAGACAGAGGTCTCCAGACCGAGCTGGAGGTCACCAGGCCTGGGTGTGGTCCCAGGAGGAAGCTGCCCTTTGTGTCTTGGGTGCAATTAACAATGAGCCCAAATATATGCCTGACAATTTACGGTTCTTTCAAAAAGTGTATTTCTCTTGACATGTTTTATAAAGGATTTAGCTGGCTATCAGGAAATACACATAATAAAACAGTAACATCTAAATAAAAATGTAAACATCAGGACAGATACAAATTACGGGATGAATTTACACCCTAGGAAAAATAAAAACACAAATAAACAAGAACCCACACAGCCGCTCCTTTAGCGCCTCAAATTTGGCTTTGAGTTTCCTGGTGGCCAAAGCGAAGAGGAAAACATTCTTCTCGTTGCTCATGAGAAGAAAACATACCTGTTTCTTGGGGGAACCAAATTATTCTTCTAACCCTAGGGCTAAATAAAATTTTCACATCTGGCTTCTCTTGGGGGATTGACTGGCAAGTTCCTACAGCACCCTTGGGGGTAAGTTTCATTTGGTGATTTTCATCTCACTGCCTGAAGATGCAGCTCAGGGCAAGCACTTCCAGGGGAGGAAAGCGAATTCCATAGTTTGTCCGTTCACATCTGTTCCTTGTAACAATTATATAAAGTAGGTGTTGTTTTGCCCACCTTACTGAAGAAGAGACTAAGGTTCAGAGAGCTTAAGTGACTCCCTTGGCCACACATTCTGAAGTTATGAGAGGTACCATCATGAAGAGCTGGGCTTCTGGCCTCAGGCCTGGGTGCAAACTTCGGCTCTCCCCTTCACTGGCCGTGGACCCTGGGACGTTCCTTCCCTCCTCTAACCTCGGCAGAGAGGTTGGCGAATGAGGGTCCAGGGAGGTTAGGCGGTTAAACAAAATGATGGGGGTGGTCAGCACCACGTTGAGCCATATTGGGGCCTGAGGCAAAAGGAAAGATGTGTGCTCCTCTACATACGTATTGAAATATCCCCTCATATTTTTTTTTTTGAGGAAGATTAGCCCTGAGCTAACATCTGCCGCCAATCCTCCTCTTTTTGCTGAGGAAGACTGGCCCTGAGCTAACATCCATGCCCATCTTCCTCTACTTTATATGTGGGACGCCTGGCACAGCATGGCTTGCCAAGCAGTGCCATGTCTGCACCTGGAATCCAAATTGGCGAAACCCTGGCCACCGAAGCAGAATGTGTGCACTTAACTGCTGCGCCACCAGGCCAGCCCCTCCTCTCATATTTTGAACCAAGTGGCAAAGTTAACCAGCACTCCACAATAAAAACCATGACTGCATGTAAACCCTGCGTTGCCAGTCTGCATGCCACCGTCAGCCCCCACAGACTCATGCGGGTCCAGGAACCACCAGCCAACAGCTGGAAATGACTGTTCCCATTGTACAATAAAGCAGGGTCATAAAACAGACGGCAGCCTGGACTTACTTAAAATGTTAATATTTTGCTCATCATAGGTTTTCTTTGCACTGTTTTATTTTTCAAAATACTGCATTAAAATATTACTCATCTCACCATTTGACCCAGCAATTCCACCCTCATACCCAAGAGAAATGAAAATACGTTCACATACAGGCTTGTGCACAAACGTGCACAGCGGCGTTATCCATAACAGCCAAAAGGTGGAAACGGCACAGATGTCCATCAGCAGGTGAACGGAGAGATGAAATGTGGTCTCTCCACACAGCGGAACACAATTTGGTGATAAAGAGGAACAAATGCTGATAAGTGCTGTGAGATCGATGAACCTTGAAACCACTAAGCTCGGTGAAAGAGGCCAGTCCCAAGACCCCATGTTGTACCCAGCGTAGGATTCCATTTACGTGAAACGTCCAGAATAAGCAAATCCGCAGAGACAGAAAGTAGACTAGTGGGTGCCAGGCACTTGGGGGAGGAGGGAACTGGGAGTGACTATTCATAGGTACAGAGTTTCTTTTTTGTGTGTGTGAGGAAGATTGTCGCCGAGCTGACGTCTGTGCCAGTCTACCTCCATTTTATGTGGGACGCCACCACAGCGTGGCTTGATGAGTGATGCTAGCTCCGCACCTGGGATCCGAACTGGCAAACCCCGGGCTGCCGAAGTGGAGTGTACGAACTTAACCACTATGCCACCAGGCCGGCCCCTAAAATTTATCTTGATTACTGAGTTTTTGGCACCCCCTTACATTTTGCATCTGAGACAAGAACCTCACGCCCTCACCCAAGTCTGGCCCTGCAGACGGTGCTCAGGACAGCGGCTGGCACATAGCAAGTACTTGGTAAATGGCAGCTGTGATGAGCGGGCACTGGTGTGGGCCGTGCACAGAGGAAGACAAAGAAGTGAGTCAGAGCTGGCCCCTGCCCTCAGGATCCCCCCAGCCCAAGGCCAACGGCCATGCCAGGGACTGTGATCCCAGGGTCATGACCACCCTCCAAGGAGGGCCTCGTGTTCTTCGGCTGTTTGGCCTCCTTCTCACCCAGAATGAGTGCCCAAGACTACCGGCTGGTGCTCCTCCTCCCCCGTGATCCACTCTCTCTATTTTCATAGGAACGGAACTGACTTTCAGCTGGGATGTGGCCACCCGAAAGAAGGACTGCATTTCCCAGCTTCCCTTGCAGCTAGGTGCCGCCATATATCTAATTTTGGCCAATGGGATTTGAGGAGAAGTGATGCATTCAGCTTAAAGGGGAGGAGCGTGTGGCTGGAGAAAACCCTGGGGATGTGGAGCCACAAGAGGGAAGAAGCCTGGGCCTCTGAGGACCTCGCGGACACCAGCCTGCACTGGATCACGAGAGTGAAACAAATTCAGTTGTGTTGAAATCTTTCGAGGGGGAGGGGATTGTTAGCCACAGTCTAAGCTATATCCCAGCTCCTACAGAATGTGAGCTACAAATCCCAGGGAAAGCGCTCTCAGTTAGGGGTCAGAACAGCCAGGCACACATGTTCATTCATTCATTCATTCATTCATTCATGCCCTCACTGAGACCCCCTTACTACTGCCCTCTCCCTTAGGTCTGACTTTTCTGGGTTCCAGTGGGGCCCAGGAAGATGCAAGTAAAAGAAAGGGTGCAGAACAGCTTGGAAAAAAGGTGGGAGCTCAATGTTGACTTTAGCAGCCCCCCACCAGAGGCATTCTGTTCCCACTGCACATGCATGCACAGGCCGGTGCCCTCACAGGGGGCTGGGCCACACCCCGAGAGGCGCACACGTGCACTGCCCCAGCAGGCTCAGGGTGGACACGCGTGCCTCCACGTTTCCACTCATCCTCGTTTGGTTTTCTAGAGAACAGCATGCCCTGTGGCCTGCCTTCCTGGCCGCACTCAGTTTCTACGTCTGCAAAATGGGTGCACTCAGTTTCTACGTCTGCAAAACCAGGCCTTTCAGGGTTTCGAGAAAATAAAATGAGAAGAATATGAAAGTGATTTGGAACCCATAAAGTGCTATGGAAAGAAATGTGAGCTATTACCGACATCTATGTTTTGCTTCCTCACGTGGCCTCAGTTTTTCCACCTGTAAAATGAATAGGGTGAAGGGCTTGGTAACACCCCACTGAACAGCAGAGTCAGACCCACAGCGAGTCCCAGCACGTTACTTACCAGCTGTGTGACCGTGGGCGAATTGCTTTACCTCTCTGAGCCTGCATTTCTAGTCATGTGTGAACTCACACAGATAACACAGGTGTCCTGTGAGATTCTGGTGAGAATTCTGTGAGATGATTGACATGGAGTGCTCTTGTCCCCCTCCCACGGAAACGCCCACCCAAGAGAACTTCCCTTCTTGGTCCAGCTCTGTGTTCCGAGGCTCTGATTCTCTGTTTCACGGTTCCTGTGCCCTCCCTGCGAAGAATTAGTCCGTTTTGGAGAAAGCCTTCCCATAAGCTTTGATGAGCCTGAGACGCAACTGAAGAATCCCCAGGGAAAGCTGATTCTGTGCTTGGAGTCGCTTCTCGTCCTGATAATTTCATTATTAGAATCCTGGCACGGAGGAGAGTCTCTTCCCGATTTACGAGTTAGGGAACGAGGCGTGTCTGGCAGCAGGGATGTGAAACACAGTCCCGGGCCTTCTGGAATTCACCTGTAACTCCCGCACTGGTTCAGAGCTGATGGAA